CACCATTCAAACAAAAGATTCCCTCCCTGTGGAGAAATCTGGCAACTTGCGTATGGAGCTTGAATTTGGTGGCGGTGTTACATATAACAGGCTGGTTTTACTGTTTGGGGAAACGACCGGGGTACTATCCATCGACGGGCAGAGAACTGTTCTATGTGACGTGCGAGCTTAAAAACATAATGAATTGTTATGATATAAATATTAATTTAAAAAATAATCTAGGGGATCGAGCGCTCTACCTAGGGTGTTATAATGCAGACGAGATAGAACATTTAAATATCTCATCAAGAAAACCTATCGTCCTCATAACTAATATTTTACCATCACACAGCAGATTAACTATGGGACATTGGGTAGCTATTTATGTTGATAAAGTTAAACATCGAATGTTTTTTTTCGATAGTTATGCAATGTCGGCGGTTACTTATGGACATTATTTTCAGGGATTTATTAAAACTAACAAAATAACAGAGGTGTTTGGAATGTGCTACAGACTCCAGAGTGATTTTACTCTTGCCTGTGGGCTCTATTGCGTCATGTTTGTTCATAGGGTAAGTCACCTGGGGTTGCCTTCAACAGTACATTACTTACATAATGTATTTTCAAGCGTTAATTTAAAATTAAATGATAAACGCGCCCTCGCTTATGCGAGACGATATTTTCCTATGAAACATCATTGTGTTAGGACATTTTGTAGAGGTGTAGGGGTTGGTTCTTATAGGTGGTGTAGAGAATATTTTTGTTAGCTAGGCAACCTACCTAACAAGGGGATTACCCCCATATAAAAACCCCTCTCACCCCACAACCTCCCTAGAAGACCTCCAACCTCCTCATCCTACAAATGGAAGGTGTCTCTCCAAAAACACCCACAGGGAAGATTGAAGTCCTTGAAGGGCCTGGTTAGTATTACCCTCACTTTCTGGTAAAGATTTATTTTTTTCCCACAATAGAAAGTTTGTACAACCTCTATTTTACCTCTTCTTTTTTTCAGTGCAATTCTTGGGACCCGTCCACATTTGTAGAGTAGTAATTCTACGTGGGGGGTCTGCCCCAAACAAGATGCTGTTACGTAGCCTAATTGATGATGCCTGCTGTAGAGGACACAAGGTCGCTCCTGCAGGGGGAGAGGTATGTACTAGCCGTTCTTAGAGGAAATAGAATATTTTTCAAATAAAAGATATAATCCTATAAAAACCTTTAATCACTATAAATTATTTCCCTCATCTCTTTCCAGAACACTTCAGATGCGAGGGAGAAGGAAACTCAAGCAAAAGGCAACCACCCAAGTCACCCCACACCCCCAAGAGTGGGGGGAGGGGGGTCAAGACCTCCCCACACTCACCACAGATGGGGAGACGTCAGAATTCTACTCAGATGAGGATGGGGAGGTGGAGGGGAGTGAGGAATAAGAGTGAGGAATCCATAACTACAATTATTACCTATCATAATTAACTTCTTATATATCATTTGTGATTTTTACCTAATAAAACATTAATAAATTCTTTAATTTTTTTAACCCCTGGGGGAGATTTATAATTTAATAGTCTTATATAAGACCCACACCACCCCACTGGGTGAGGAACTCTGTTACGGTAAAGTCAAGGTCATTAGGTGTGAGGTAAGGTACAGGCGACCACCCCTACTGAGAGGAACCTGTTTTACACCTGCGCCATAGAGGAATGTGGGGGGTGTAACTGGCACTCACCCATGTGTGTTTATTATACAAATAAATTAATTTTTTACTTAAATATACTGTCATATTTTACTGTATAAATGAACATGATCATAGTGGTACATAATAGATACCTATCTTCACTGTTTTTTCGACTGCTACCACCCACACCTTGGGTGACCTAATATGGAGTGGCACTATGTGGCACCCCGCTTCTGATTTTCTTATCTGATTGCTATACATAGGTGGGGCTATCTGTCACCAAAATATCTACTTTTGGCCGATTTATTTGCAGAGTTCAAACACTATTCTCTGTCTATTTAGCTTGTATTCATTAATGAGAACCAAATGAGGGCCTTATCACTAATAAATGGGTAATAAGGTATTGCAACATACATGTTTTGTTATAATAAACAAAAGAATGAAGGTAACTGCAGAAGGCCTATTGGCCCATACGAGGCAGCTTCTATTTATATCCACCCAATCTCATTCATGTATATGTCTAACCTACTGTTAGACTGTTAAGGGGCCCAGTGTCTGTTTTTAAGTTTTCCCCTAACTTATCCCAATATTTTGTTTTTGTTTCTTTTCGTGACTTCATTTCAATACATATTGACCCATAACTTTCACATATTCGAGTATGAATGCCAAGCAATCCTAATTATAACCTACAAGATATATCATAAATTAGAAGTACTATATTTATTGTTGAGAACTTTAGATGCATTTTTCTCTGTGAAAAACATTTTCTACTTTGAGACGTAAAAAAAAATCATTTTCTGACCGATTCTCTCCATTTTTACATATTAAGTGCAAAGTTCTTAGTGCTAAGGTTCCTAATGAATCGATTTGTCATAAAGCCATAACGTTTGGAGTTATAAAATTTTGCCAAAGTCAAGGTACACGACATCACAATCCTTACCACTATCAACTGCCTCAACTATGCTAGAATAAAAAGATAACAAATTTGTTAAACATGAACGGCCATTTATAAAACCATATTGCGACTCAATTAATATTTATGTTTTTCAAGATGAAGACGAATTTTATTTGCAATTATCGATTCGAGTAACTTTCCCACAATAGACGTTAGGCTAATTGGCCGATAGTTTGACGCAAGTGATCTATCTCCTTTCTTAAAAACTGGTATCACATTAGCAACTTTCCATAACTCTGGCACTCTGCCTGACTCTATTGATTTATTAAATATGGTAGACAGTGGGTCGCAAAGCTCCTCTTTGCATTCTTTAAGCACCCTGGCAAACACTTCATCCGGCCCTGGGGATTTGTTTGGTTTGAGTTTTACTATTTGTTTAATTACATCCTCCCTGGTAACTGCTAAACTAGTCAGCCTGTCCTCGTCCCCACCCACATAGACTTGTTCGGCTGAAGGCATATTGTTAAGTTCCTCTTTAGTAAATAAATACAGATACAAAATATTTATTAAAAATACTACTCATCTCTTCATCACTATCTGTTATTTGACCTGTCTCAGTTTTTAATGGACCTATCCTTTCCCTATTCTTTGTCCGGAATAACTGGAAAAACCCTTTAGGATTTGTCTTCGCTTGCTCTGCTATGCGAACTTCATAGTTTCTTTTTGCTTTCCTTATCTCTTTTTAAGTATTTCTAACAAGTTGTACGAATTCCTGTTCTAAACTGACTTCCCCATTTCTAATCCTTTTGTACCACGCTCTCTTTTTATTGTACCACGCTCCCACCACGGCATCTTCAATGCCGTGGTGGGAGGCATTAATGTTGTAGTGGGTAACTTCAATGTTGTTCAGCGTGGTATAAATTTTGTGGTGGGAGGCAACAATGTTGTGGTGGGAGGCATTATGTTTGTGGTAGGCATCAATGCTGGCGTCAGAAGCATTACTGTTGTTGTTAGAGTCATCATTGTTGTGTTAGGTGCCTTCAATATTGTGGTGGGAGCCATCAATGTTGTGGTGGTTTGCATCAATGTGGTTGTGTAGTGGAATCAATGTTGAGGTGGGAGCCATCAATGTTTTGGTAGGAGCCATCAATGTTGTTGTGGGAGCCATAATTTTTGTGGTGGGTGGTATCAATGTTGTGGTGGGAGGCATCAATGTTGCGTTAAGAGGCATCAATGTTGAGGTGGGAATCATCAATGTTGAAGTTGGGGGCATCATTGTTGTGGTCAGAGGCCTCATTGCTGCGGTAGGAGACATCAATGTTGCAGTGGGAGCCATCCATTTTGTGTTAGGAGGCATCATTCTTGTGGTGGGAGGCATCATTGTTGTTGTGGGAGCCATAAATGTTATGAGGGGGGCCTCAATGTTGTTGTTTGAGGCAATAGTGTTGAGGTGGGAGGCATCTTGTTGTGTTGGAAATAATCATTGTTGTGATGGAAGGAATCATTGTTGAGATGCGAGGCATCATTGTTGTGGTGAGAGGCATCAGTATTGAGGTGGGAGCCATCAATTTGTGGTGGGCGGCGTCAATGTTGAGGTGGGAGCAAGCATTGTTGTGGTGGGAGCTGTCATTGGTGTGGTGTCATCAATAGTTAGGAGCGAGCTATCAATGTTGTTGTGGGAGTCATCAATGATGTGGTTGGAGGCATCAATGGTGTGGTGGGAGGCATTATTGGTGAGGTGGGAGGAATCAATGTTGAGGGCGAAGGCATTATAGTTGTGGAGGGAGGCATCATTGTTGTGGGGGGAGGCATCATTGTTGTGGGGGGAGGCATCATTGTTGTGTTGGGAGCCATCAATGTTGTGGTAGGAGTCATCATTGTTGTGGTGGGAGGCATTATTTTTGAGGTGGGAGGGATCATTGTTGTGTTAGGAGGTATTAATGTTGTTGTGGGAATCATCAAAGTTTTGGTGGAGGCATCAATGTTGTTGTTGGAGGAATCAATGTTGTGGCCAAAGGCATCATTGTTGTGGTGGGAGGCATCAATGTTGTTGTAGGAACCATCAATATTGTGGTAGGTGGCATCATCCCTGTGGTGGGAGGCATCATTTCTTTGGTGGGAGCTATCAATGTTGTGGTGATATTTATAATTGTTTTCGTGGGAGGCATCAAAGTAGTGGTGGGAGACGTTATTTTTGAGGTCGAAGGCAACAGTATTATGGTGGGATGCATCATTGTTATGGGTGATCCATCATTTTTTTGGTAGAAGGAAGTCATTGTTGTGATGGAAGGCATCGTTGTTGTGGTGGGAGGCATCAGTGTAGTGGTGGGAGGTATCAATGTTATATGAGGCAAAATTGTTGTAGTTAGAGGCATTAATATTGTGGTCGGAGGCATCAATGTTGTGGTCGGAATCATCAATGTTGTGTTGGAAGACATAATTTTTGTGGCATTAGAAAGCAATGTTGTGGTGGGAGGCATCAATGTCTAAGTGGGTAGCATCAATGTGGTGGAGGTTGGCATCAATTTTGTGGTGGGAGGTATCAATGTTTTGGTGGAAGGCATCAATGCTGTGGTGATAGACATTATTGTTGTGTTGGCTGGAATAATTGTTGTGGTGGGAGCAATCAATGTTATCGTGGGTGGCATCAATGTTGTTATGGGAGGCATCAATGTTGTGGGACTCATCATTGTTTTGGTGGGAGGTGTAAATGTTGTGGTCAGAGGCATCATTGTTGTGGTGGGAGGCATCATTGTTGTTTTTAGAGGCATCATTGTTGTGATGGAAGGCATCATTTTTGTGGTGGGAGACATCAATGTTGTGGTGCGAGGAAGCATTGTTGTAGTGGGAGGAAGCGTTGATGTAGTGGGAGCAATCAATGTTGTTGTGGGAGGCATCATTGTTGTGGTCGGACGCCTCATTGTTGTGGTGAGAATCATCATTGCTGCTGTCGGAGGCATCATTGTTGTAGTGGTAAGAATCAATGTTGTGATTGGAGGCATCATTGCTGAGATAGAGGCCATGAATGTTGTTGTGCGAGCCATCAAAGTTGTTATGGGAGGCATCCGTGCTGAGGTGGGAAGCATCAATGTTGTGGTGGGAGTCATCAATGTGGCGGTGCGAACAAATAAAGTTATGGTGGGAGGCACCAGGGATGAGGTGGGATGCATCAATGTTGCTGTGGGAACCCATCAATATTTTGGTGGGGGTATCAATATTTTGTTGGGAGGCTTCATTGTTGTGGTGATAGCGATAAATTTTGTGGTAGGAGGCATCATTCATGTGATGGGAGGCATCATTGTTGAGGATGGAGCCATCAATGTTGCGGTGAGAGTCATCATTCTTATGGTGGGTGATATCAATGTTGTAGTTGAAGGCATCAATGCTGTGGTGGAATACATCATTGATGTGGTGGAAGGTATCAATGTTGTGGTGGGACTAATCAATGTTTTGAAAGGTGACGTCAATGTTGTAATGTGAGGCATAAATGTTGTGGTGGGGTGGCATCAATTTTGAGGTGGGAACCGTCGTTGTTGGTGTGGGAGTCATCATCGTTGTGGTGGGAGGGATCATTGTTGGGAAGCACTATTGTTAAGGTGGGAGGCATCAATGTTGTAGTCAGAGGCATCGTTGTTGTGGTGGGAGGCGACATTGTTGTTGTAGGAGGCATCATTGTTGTGGTGGGAGCCCTCAATGTTGAGGTGGGATTATCATTGTTGTTGTGGGGAGGCATCAGTGTTGTGGTGGGGGCTTTATTTTTGAGGTGGGAGGCATAAATTTTGTGGTGGAAGGCATCGATGTTGTGATGGAAGTCCACATTGTTGAGGTGTGAGGCATCATTGTTCTGATGGGATGTATCCATATTGTTGTGGGCGACATCAATGTTTTGGTGGAGGCATCAATTTTGTGGTCGGAGGCATCATTGTTGAGGTCAGAAGTATCATTGTTGAGGTGGGAGTCATCAATGTTGCGGTGGATGTCATCAATTTTGAGGTTGGTGACATCATTCTTGTGGGGGGAGGCATGAATGTTGTGGTCGGATTCATCATTGTTGTGGTCAGAGGCATCATTGTTCTGGTGGGAGGCATCTAGGATGTGATAAGAGCCATCAATGTTTTTCTGGGATGCATCATTGTTGTTGTGGGAGCGATTATTGTTTTGATGGGAGGCATCATTGATGTGGTCGGAGGCCTCACTGTTGTGGTCGGAGACATCATTGTTGTTGTGGTAGGCATCAGTGTTGTAGTTGGAGGCATCATTGTTGCTGTGGCAGCAATTAATGTTGTGGTGGGAGGCATCAATGTTGTGATGGGAGCCAGCAATGATGTGGTGAGAGGAATCATTGTTGTAGTGGGAGGTATCAATGTTGTGGAGGGAGCCTTCAGTGTTATGGTGGGAGCCATCAATGTTGTGGTGCGAGCCATCAAAGTTGTGGTGGGAGGCATCAAAGTTATGGAGGGAACTATAAATGTTGTGGTTTGGGGTGTCGGAAATCCGACACACATAATAACATAAGTTACCCTTAAAAATCAGAGAATGGGTGATTCCGGGACGTCATCAACTACACGGAAGTTATATTAACTCTCATCTCTTTTAAAACTTCAGTTTAGTCTTTGAACCTAATAAAATAGTATTCACTACGACTGAATATAATTAAATATACCAGGAATATAGCTTAACTCTCTGTTCCTTAAAACACAAATAGAACCACAAAACATTTATGAACGTCGTCCCTGAGGAGGGAGGCGTCAGTCACAGAGTCACGAAGGCTGAAACAATAACAAAGCCACACACAAACACCACTCGTCATAGATTCCCAATTATGAAGCAATCAACCGAGTAACTGCTATTGTGACCCTTACAGCAAAGAGAAGTGCTAAGTATCTGATTGCCTTGTATTCTTTTATTGAGGTGATTACTTGTAATATAGAATAGGTAGCCGGTTATAAGCATAAGAAAAACACAAACACAGTGAGTAGCGTTTTACTCAGCTCTTTGTTACATACAAAATTTCCATGTCACACCTGTATTTTATGTGTTAATGAGTAATTTTTACGGCCTTAACTTTTTACAGGTAATATTTGATTCAGAGATATTAGAATAAGCTGGTGAACATAACTGTGAAGTTCTTGCCACCCTGTTGTACACCCATGCCAGCTTGGACTCCATTTTATGCACTCTGAGGCACATGTAGCCACAACCTAATCTGATGGAAGAATAATATACAGCCTAAGCAGGCCACACCTACAATATCATCTAAGAATATATTTTGCATTACAGTAGATAATTATTGAAAATGTAGATAAAGTAGATTTAAGAATAATATTAAATTAGGCCACCATATGTGGTATGATTTATAATTTATATTAATAATAAGGTAAACAATTGCCTCTTGTACCATATCCACTCAAGATAGTACAAGAAGTAATTGCCCCTCCAACTGTGTGTAAGTAAAGTTCTGGCAGGCTGAATCAATTTGTACAGACCACTCAGAACCATAACAATAATAATAATAATATTAAAGTTAACTAAAAAATAAAATTAAAGAAAAATTAAATATTCCTAGAATAAAATTAAATAAAGCCAGCTAGGATTTTCCCACATAAGTTTGGTCCTTTAAACCAAGATACATGATCGTGATTAGGATCAACACAAACCAATAGTGCAATATTTACATATATATTAATTATAGCAGGAAGACACTGCTATACATATTTTTAGCCTAACTTTTCAACCTCGGCCAACAGTGAACAGAACTTACGGCAAGCACTTAATATTGTTCCAAGTCCTGAACCAAATTAAAACAATTGTGCTTTTTCATATGCAGGCGATGAGTCACAATAACGTGGCTGAAGTATGTTGACCAGACCACACACTAGAAGTTGAAGGGACGACGACGTTTCGGTCCGTCCTGGACCATTCTCAAGTCGATTGTGAAGAGGAGGTAGAGACAGGCAATAAAGTATTATGCCTTCCCTTCATATCTGAACTCAAAACTTTTACCAATACCTTTCGTCCTCTTGACATTAAACTCGCCTTTCGACAAACTAACACACTTCATAGCAATCTAGTTCACACTGCTCCTCCTGCTTCTAATGCTGCTGGTGTCTACTCTATTTCCTGTTCATCTTGTCCTCTCCAATACTTTGGCGAAACTGGCCGTACACTGAATGACAGACTTAAAGAACACAAGAGAAGTGTTAAGTCTGCAGACACTAACAATGCTCTCTTCTGCCATGTGAGGGATTCTAATCATCCCATTGATTGGTCTTCCTCCAAAATAATCTTTCCTGCCTCTACTCTACACAGATGCCGTCTTGTAGAATCGGCTCTGATACACAATGTACCCAACATGAACTTGAGTCCTGGCTTTGTTGCTGTGGACTCTTCCCCTTTCACAGTATATACTCAAATGCTCTAATCTTTCTAACAATCGTGACTTAACATAAGCTTACCCCTTCCATTTATCTTTCTTTCTCTTTCCTTTTCTTTCTCTCTTCTCCCCTTTTTCTGTTCATTGTCTTCTGCTACGCTCCCTTGCTATCCTCTTCTTACTCCTATTACTAAATCCTTCTCTTTCGGTGGTTATAATAGGAGCTGCCACGTATGGGCCAGTAGGCCCTCTGCAGTTCTCATTATTACTACTCTCCCCTACACCTTACTTTCCTCCTCAGCTCTCTCTTGCCTATTTATTGCCTGTCTCTACCTCCTCTTCCAAAAACACAGGACGGGAGAGACATCTCCCGTCCTGCGACGGGAGAGACATCTCCCGCCAACACATCACAAGGCGCAGTGTGGTCACAATGCGACCCAAACGTCTTAACACTTTCGCGCTCTCGGCGTTCAAAAAAAAATCATACCCTATGCGCTTTCGGCGGTTCGCGCGCCTACGCGCTAAGACCGAAAAAGTGTACACTCTTTTGACTGTCCTGACAATAATTGAAGGCGCACGTATTTAAATTTGGTATCACTGTGTTCGCAATAAAATTGTCTATAAGAACATTCCTATAAAATGCCGCCAAAGCATAAGGACTATCAACACCAAATAAAAAACTATTCAGATCACTCGCCGAGAGCGCCAAACAGCAACAAAATGTTTCCACTCTCTTAATGGTTGCGAAGCCTACAGTTGTCCTACATCGCTAACTGTGGTATCATTGGAATCGCAATAAAATTCTCTACACGGACATATGCATATAAATATAGATTCAATGTCGTAGCCCACCCAAAACAGTGTGGGAAGTGGCCGAAGTGTTACCCGCGGCGGCATATCGGCGAAACTCGCTTTGAAAAGTGCATTTTCAATTCACTGTCCTGACTTTATTTGTTTTTTTTTTGAGATATATACAAGAGTTGTTACATTCTTGTACAGCCACTAGTACGCGTAGCGTTTCGGGCAAGTCCCTGGAATACGATCCCCTGCCGCGAAGAATCATTTGTAGATGTATGTATTTCATTTTTGTACCAATGTGCTCGCAATAGAATGTTCTATAAGAACATAAGTATTAAAGGTCACAAAAGGATGCATTCGACCGGCAACATATATAAAAACTACGTCGATTATACTCGTCGTGTCAATAATACAATTGTTTTACCACGATGATTCACTGCCACGACGTTCTCTTTAATAAGCTGTTCGGCTATTAGAGAAAACGAAAATGTCATGGCAAACATTTGTAAACTATTCAGATAAATTGACCACCATAGCTGCGGCCACCCAGGCTGCCACACAAGGATTCTACTGCTTCGGCCTAAAAATACCACCCCACCAAATAAAAAAGGAACGATACCATGAGATCCAGCAGTGCTTTAAGTGCTACGAGCTCTCCCACCCGACCAACAAGTGTCAGCACCCTGTCCAGAGTTGCAGCCTGTGTGCACTGGACCATCACTACTCCATATGCAAGGCAACAGTCCATCACTGCTTGCTCTGTGATGGCAATCACCCCGCAATTTCCTACCGCTGCCCCCGCAGACAGGAAATCATCAAGGCCCAGGTTGAAGCCAAAAGAAACAACTCGTCTACCTCCTCGATCAGAGTCCCAAGCGTTCAACTCACCACCTTATTAGCTCTCACCAGTCGACCAGAAGACTTTCCGGTCCTACCAACATGTGGCTCCTCCCAGCAGGCGACACAGCCTTCTCATTGGGGACCCAAGGTCCCACAGGCTCCTTCACAGCCCCCTGCATCACGTGCAGGCACGTGATGCAGGGGGGCTGGTCTTCTTAAAATTAAACTAGCAGAAAGGCTTGCAGGACCAGACAACCAGCGCTTTGTCAGTGAACTAAACGCATTATACATAGACAATGGCCTGGACCCCATCATAGCCACTAGCGTAAATCTCACTGCCTCCTCTACCACTCCGGAGACTACCACCAGGACGACCAGGTGGTCAACTTCAACACCGACTCCAGAACCGCCCATGACCCGGGCGACACAAACAGAGGTAATTCATTCTCCAGCTCCCAACACTCCTACCATCACTATCTCAGCAGCCGCGCTAGCAGACGTGCTGTCTACAAACGATAACAGCACCACCAGCGCTCCTGAAATACCTACAACCACCAATCAACGACACCTAAACCTACCTAAGGCTGCGAGGCGAAAGACAAAAACGCCCACTACGGAGGTTACGGACTCCTCAGACGAGGAAATTATAGTAGGAGCTCCACCGCCGCATCACAAATACGACACCTACACGGTTCAAGACTTCCTCATGGAGGCCACGTCACCAAACTCTAACGACAGCACTGCTCAGCCAAAGTCGCAGGCAAAGAAAAAATGGAAAACCTAGAGGTCTACACTAACCCCACCAGCTCCATAACTGGTATAGCCAGCCCTCCAGGCTGAAAACCATCATGAAGTCCCCCATCCATCGCCACATCTCTAGTATCAGCCACTGATACAGATAATGACTCCAAAGAGCCTCCACTTACGGGCTCACCATAGCCCGTGCTACTGGAACTTATCGTTCTGAGTAGCGAATCTTAAACAACAACAACCTCCTCTTCACAATCAACTTGAGAATGGTCCAGGACGGACCGAAACGTCGTCGTCCCTTCAACTTCTAGTGTGTGGTCTGTTCAACAATTGTGCTTTTTCATTACAAGAGGTTGATAAGAGGCTAATTTAACTCATAAATGTATATATAATTTTAAGTGTATATATAAATATTACATAATATTGCACCATAACAATTACTGCATATTACCATAACAATTACTGCATATTACCATAACAATTACTGCATATTACCATAACAATTACTGCATATTGTTACGATATATCGTATCGTGTTATTTCATCGCATAAAGGCACGGTTATTTAATAGTAATCCGTTCATTATTACAGGAAGAACGAGGTTAACAACCATGGAGGTCGTTAACGGTCAGCACGGTATGGCTCGTCCGGTGGCGGGAATTTCTGTTAGCCAATCAGAACCTTTCGGGCGAGGTAACGTGTGCTGGCCGGAGCATGTGGAGAGACAGACATCTACTCCCCTCCATTGAGTCAACATGCTGTCGTCGCTTTCGGATGTTTGACCAACTGACCCAACTGTTCCAGTATGCTCCACCCTCACCAAAGGAAATGGACGTGAGGACCTAGCGGCATGGTAAACGTCTCTGAGGTCGTGGAAGGCACCGTCATTGATAGTTAGAGGCGCTGAGGTAACACAGTTTCCGAATAGTGGTCCTAATTACGGAAAAGTGGATGATCTATAAGTGGGAAGAACGATCGGACAAGAGACGACCATTTCATGGTCGCAGTCTCTTTCTCTCTCTCTCTCTCTCTCTCTCTCTCTCTCTCTCTCTCTCTCTCTCTCTCTCTCTCTCTCTCTCTCTCTCTCTCTCTCTCTCTATATATATATATATATATATATATATATATATATATATATATATATAACTGTACTTATGTACAATGCCTTAATATATATATACATGTAATATATTGTATATAATGTGGATCGAGATATATCTGAATATATCCATGATGAAGTTTTTATACAAACTTATTTTCTTGTCCTTTGTCAGACCTCAGCACAAAGTGTGTCGCACCTGACAATAGGTCCGGCTGAGGCTGACACCTGATCAAATTAATGTACCGTTATATTACAACGAAACATAAGATAAACACTCAGAATAACCCTAAATTAAATGTGTTGGGT